ACAAAATTAACCTAAAATACCTAACCTAAAGCATTTACCAATTATCAATTACCACAAAATTAACCTAAAATACTACACATTGAAGTTAGAAATTACTAATTAGAATCTTTACCCAAGAGAAGAGGTTAAGACCAAGAAGGAAGTCGCACACGGCAGTGCGGCACATCACTCAGCACAGTCGGCTCGGCTGTCGGGACTCGGGCGTCGGCAGACGGCAGCAGCCAGCAGCACTGCAGCAGCAGCACACGGTGTCTGGTGAGGCGGTGACTCACACAGGCGGGCGGCGGCGCGGCACAACAGTCAGCAGGTGAGCTCGCAGTCAGTCGCAGCGATGACCGATGAAGTCATGAAGAAGAAGAGAAGAAGAGAAGAAGTGAGGTGAGGTCGCAGGCGGCACAGGCGCACAGCTCGTTTCCACTTTCCTGCACTGAAGAGGGGCCTCCTACCTCATCTTGTTGGGGGCCCACATACACCTAATCTTAAAATACAAGTAAATTTTTTTTTTTTGGGGCTTTCATATGACATTTTTGTTGGGGGCCCAGGACCCCAATGCCCAAGTACTGCGTCCGCCCCTGTCCAATAGTTTTTTTTTTACCGGCAACAAAGACGAAATAGCATAGAAACTAGCAAGGCGCTAGCAAGAGAGAGTACAGGTTAAAAACAAGGCATGAGAGAATTACACCACTCTATCCAACTATTCGCCATAACATCTTTCGGCACCCTGTTTTTAAACCAAAAAAAAGAATACGTCTGAAGCTGGCCTGCAAGAAAAGTAGCCATCATCTGAGAAAGTTTTGCGGTTGCGCAGGTTCCAAATAATCCAGAAGAATCCATACACCACTCCAATAAACACCTTCTTACACGAAAAATTCCCAGCCACCTCCGAGCAACGGTCAAAAAGACTATCAATCGAATTCACCTGTCTTATGTCCACTTTCCACCATTTGCACAAGTCCTTTAGCAATTGCCGAGATATCGAGCATCCTATGAAAAGATGTTCCTTGTCAACAATGCCTCCAATAGTTGAATGCCACTTTGTGAATGCCAAACCTTTTAAAATACTGGTCTTCATGCTTTCGGTCACTACTACATTTTATAGAGAGAGAAAATATAGTTTATTTTTAATGTAAAAATAATTTCATACAAATATTTAATTAATAATCAAATACGTAAAAATATAATTTAATAGTTATAATATCTTATTAATATTTTTATAATGATTAAAAATAAATACCCTTCTAATAAAAAAAAATATTCTAATTTTTTAAAGCGTTTTAAAATAAAATAAAATATATTATTTTTATTTTGGCATAAAAGCATCTTCAAGGTTTATGAAATGAAAAAGGTAGTTTCTTACAAGAATTAATATTTTAGAGAGTTTATATAAAAGTCTCCTTTTATTTGAGTTTTTGTATGAAAACTTTAGTTTTTATCTTGAAGTTGGTGTGAAATGACAATTTGCTAGCTTTTTTTTTATATATCTTTTGTTAGCTTTTATATCTAATATAATAATTAATAGAACCATTGAGTTAAATGACCATTTCTCTCATTTAAATTGGTTTTTTAATCATTTTTCGCTTGAATTGACCCAATTGTCATTACTTCTGCAATATCCAGGTCCATTATATTGTGGACTTAGGAGTTGTTTGTTTATCTCTTAATAGTTCCATTAAGAAGCAGCCTCTGAATCATTAAGAGATGATTTTGTTTGACAAAAAAAAGACTGTCTTTTAATTGTTCTAAAACCCTCTGAATAATTGTGTATTATGAGCATATCTTAACCATTCAGCGTCCTAACAATTATATTTCATTTTGCACTATATCATGAGCGTCTCTTAATCATTCTGCACAAAACCATTCAGATTCAGCAACTGTCAAACAACTCCTTAGCTAAAGACCAAAAATTCAACACAGATATGCAATTGTGATGCCCAGACCACATATATACAATTGTGATGGTCAGGTCCACAATTGCGAACGTAAACCAATTGAATTTGATATTTTTTTTTGTCTTTTAGCAATTGCAGACCTGGATATTGCAAATGTAGTGACATTTGGATCAATTCGGAAGAAAAATTGTTAGAAGACCAATTTAAACTAGGAAAATAATCATTTGAGCTAATTTCTCTAATTAATATATATATATATATATATATATATATATTTAAATTATATACACGAGACCCACAAAATGAATTCTTATAAAAACTACCATCGTAAAGTTATATATAAATGATTAATTTGATGATTTGGAATTTAAAAATAGAAAATTAACAAAAATAAATAAATAAAAAAGTGGGTTTCACAAAAACCTCATGCTCTTAACTCTTAATATGGTTTATGTTTGAAGGCATTAAAAGAATTTATTTTAGCGGAAATGATAACTTCAAAATAAAGCATATCTTTAACCTAACAAAGTGAAATTATTCGATTTGGTCCTCGTATATTTCATGATTGTCTACCCCACGCCTCGATTATTTAAACAACAACCATTTAACCATTCCGTATGATTCAACAACGCTCATTTCAAGGACAAACATAATCGAGCTTTTGACAACACAGACTTTAAGCGTACCTTATTAAAGAAAACCGTATACATATTTAAGTATAGCAATGGCCATAGATGATTGAAATAGTTTAGGAATTCAACACCAACCCTTCTGTCAACATCAGCTTACCGATGGTCACTACAAGAAAAAATGAGCTTTGACGATGCGTCTTTTAGCAATGACATGTTTTTGACACACATTATAGCGACGACATGTTGTTATATACTCTTTCTGATTCTAATGATAAATGGACTTTTGTCAACGACAAAAGTCATGTTTCTTGCAGTGGGTCATGTTTTCACGTTCGTCTAAGGCCTATAAAATATCAGGAACGAGCCTGGATATACAGATATTTCACATTCTATATTCGTACAATCGTCTTCTTCTTCATATTTAAATCTACTAGTAGTTGAATTATTTATAACCACAGGGGCTCAAATGGAAAAATTGAAGGAGGTAAAGTGGAAATTGTGCACCATGATATGATTGACCCAATTTTCAAAGCTGAAACCCCAGTTCTTCACATTTTGACCAATCAATCACTTTCACTTTATTCCCAGAATCATAACCAAAATTGGGTCTTTTTAGGGATGATTTGCAAGAATCATTGGAGTAAATTATAAGCAGATTGGTGTTCAAGTATTCCTTCCTTCTCTCCAAGGCCAAACAGCCATTTTTGGGGTTTTCAAGGTAAAATAAACTAAAACCATTTATAGGGTTTAGTATTTCCTCCCGGGATTGCATTAACTTTTTCGAATCTGCTTTTAGAATCTTCCATGGGTTTCGATTTACGTTGAAACATTTGGTTATTATGTGCTTGTGATCGGAAGTGTTTTCTTGTTTTCTGCATTTTTCTCATTTTGATTCTGCAATATAGTCTCTGTTTTTACGATGGATTCAAATTTGTGTAAGTTGGATCTGTTTTCTGTTTCTGATTCGAAATTTCTTTCTGATCATGTCTACATTTCTCTTATCTGATGATTCCTGTTTCTGAAATTGGATGCTTCACTGTAAATCTTCTAGGGATGGATATCGATTTTAACAGGTTAAACCTACCACTTTCTTCTATTCAGATTTGCACGATTGAAATGATCAGAAGTTTCATGATCATTTGACAAAAAAGTTCGATCGCAAAAGTTAAATTACATTTCCAAAACTTTGGGATAGATCACATTCTCACTCTTGTTCATCTTCTTGTTTTATCTGTTTATTCCCTGTTTTGGCGTTACAGTTGCTCAAGTGTTGTTATTCAAGGCAATAGGCATATTGCCATTGAGGACAAATGTAGAATCTCATGCACCATCTCCATGGTTGTTTCTTTAAATTAAATGACAATTATAGTTGATGGTGTCATGCTTCAATACATAAAAATGAATTTTAACCACAAGGGTGGTGCCTGATTGGTTTGAGCTTAGCTCCAAAGGTCAAAAGTACCAGGAGGTCAGCAAATCCAAGGAGGAGTAAAAATCCCCTTTGTGGCCGGAGGTTCAAATGCGGTGACTCCGGGCCATCTGCAAAGCAGGTGGTTGCCCTGGGATTAGTCGGCTCGTACAACAGGTTGGATATGCAGGTTAATAAAAAAATGAAATTTCAGCTTGTTGAATGTCCAATTTCTGGTTCCATTTTGACTTATCAACTGCATAAAAAGCATGATTTGCATATTTTTCATGTTTTCTTTATGTTTATGTTCTCTCTTCTGAACCATGAAGGCAAATTTTGTTTACGATGCCACGATTTATCTTTTTTAGTCATTGAAACATTGTTTCTTGAAATTGTACTCATCCGAACCCTGGTTTTGAGTATCTAACGTATACGAAAACTCAATCGTGCAGGTCTAGGCGACGATTTGAATCATGTTTTTTAGTTTCACACCTGTTAGAGGCATGAAATCAAAGATTGTTCCTTACTATATGAATGGAAATCCTTCCAGCCTTTTTTGCATTCTGCCAAGAGACGATTCTTCGCGCTTTTACCCTCCTGGCAGCTACCCTGTTTACCTTAATGTGTATGATATCTCTACTATCAACAGTTGTATATCCTGGACCGGCCTCGGTGCCTTTCACACGGGTTTAGAAGGTGAGATCACTGTCTTTACTCTTTTGGTGGTTTCACACAAAATTCTAACATGGATTGAAGCTTTCATTTGTTTCATCATTCCTCAATTTGTGGGTTTTATCTATTTATCCTGAAAAAATATTGCAAAAAAGATCATAACCGAAAGTTCTTTTCTTTCCTGATTGTGTGATTGATTACAGTTCATGGTGTGGAATATGGTTTTGGATGTCACCAAGAATCAGAAAGTGGTGTCTTTGAGATTGAGCCTCGGAAATGCCCTGGCTTCAAGTTCAGGGAGACGATTTTAATGGGTACCACGAGCTTGAGCCCGAGTCAAGTCCAGAGATTCATGGAGCTGCAATCTAGCAACTACTATGGTGACACATACCACTTATTTGGGAAGAACTGCAATCATTTTTGTGAAGATATGTGTTACAAGTTAACAGGAAACAAAATCCCCAAATGGGTCAATCGGCTAGCCAGAATAGGTGCTTAAATTTGTCGCCTTTCTTGACCCTTTTTGTTATATTGGCATCGTGAGCTCATCTTTCACATGTTGTTCTGTAGGTTCATGTTGTCGTTGCATACTTCCTGAATCCATCAAGGGTTCCGATGTTAAAAGAGAGTCAAACGGTCAAGACTATGAAAAGAAGAGTTTGGGAAATCCGTTTAGTTGTTTCTCATCGCTTTCAACACATAATAAGCTGAGGAAAGTATCAATATCGTCGTTGTATAAGCATTCGCTCTATAAAGGATGCCTTCCTCCATGGGAGTTGGAAGGAGACTCGCAAAGGCTTTGTGACGACCATGATGAGTAACTGCTGTTCTCTTGTGCCGTAAACTAGACCAGAGTCATTCTCAACGTGTCCATAAGAAGTCGTTTCCATTTTTTTTTAATGAATTCTGGTTCGAGACCGAAGATTTTGAAGAACCGATTTGCTCGAAAGATGTATTCTATAGTTTTCCCAAGCTTAGTTTATGTTTGGGAATGAATGTAAAAACATATTCTTTGTCCTTTTGGCATCTTCAACAGTAGAAAATGTACACATAGAATCCACACTCTTGTTAAGCTGTTCAACATTCTTTTTGTCTAGAATTTCTTTAAGTTAAAATGAATCTTTTCTTTTAATAGAGTAATTTACAAATTTAGTCTATGTGGTTTGATGTTATTTTTAGAAGAAAATGACTAAAATACCCTCTGATTTAGAGGAAATTAAGATAAAGGTACCCGATTTTTAGCAAAAACCTAAGTAATGAATATCTAGGACAAGACCTTCTTAATGATTTTGTGCGAGTACCCTCCTAATATCAATTATCTAAAACATCAACAAGAAAATTTATAAGATGGTAATTCTTAAACTAAATTTTGCTAATTAATACATATTCTTTCTCTTTTATCAAAAAAAAAAAGGCGAAAGAATACATTCTTTTTATTATACTCGATTAATTATTAAAATTTCATGTTGTAAATAATCAACCTTAAGATGTTTGTATCAAAATAAACGTGATTTTTATCTCGTCTAACGTTCGAATAAACATATTAAATATTAATATCATGTTTGTTAACCGTAAATTAATTTATTTTCAAAAGACATCAAAATTTTATTGGAAACAAATCAAATACAAAAACAGTCTTCAAACCTTTTCTAAAAAAAATCAGCACTCCTAAAACATAACACGAAATGGAGACTATTTTGAATGTCTTGTTAGATTAACTTATATTGTCATGATGTCATCTAATTTATCAATTGATTTTCACCAAACATAATTAGTTTGTCAGTTAGGTTGTTAACCAACAACTACTTTGCAACTAACAACTACTTACCAGTCAACAAACTTTTTTAGTAACAAATAGTTTATCAGTTAGAAAACTAATTCATCATTTCACTTGTTGGCGAATGATCCTATGAGAATGAGAGTTAAGGTGAGAAGCGTAAAAAAAAGGATTTGAACTTTTGATCACTTTTAATCTCAAACTCATCCATGAATCGCGCTTGATATGAGGATGCATCCGGTGCATCTCATCATAACGTGCATCCAAAAGTAGATTTCCGTTCTTATGCTTCTTATCTTAACTTTTCTTCTTACCGAAACTCAACATATATGACACAAAACAAATTAATATAATCGTCACAAAGCATTAATGTTTACTCCATTTGTAAACAAATTAACAAATATCATTATGAGTAAACTTCAATTGGTCCATGTGCTTTTTAGAATTTCTTGGTTTTATAGTTTAGTCATTATGATTTGCAAAACTGTTAGAAACTGTCAGAAAGTAGCCCTCTTTTTTAAGGATCGTTAACTTTTTTTAGCTGTTAAGTGAGGGTTATTTTGATATTTTCATAATCGGGTTTTTTTCTATTTGTTCTATTAAATACTTTTGTCTTTTAGTCATTAATGACCACACCCCCTTCCTAATTTTCCACCTGTGACAACCTAAAAAAACCATCGAAAATCTCTTTGGCTGCCGCCACCACCTACCGTTATTTCTCCTCCGGTCATCTTGTTCGACCAAATCTCAAAGCACACACACTAATTCATTCACAGCAAAAACTCAACCAAAATTCAGAATTCAAACCACAAAGCCAAAAACAAATACAAACCTCAAAATCGAAGTCAAATCCTAAAGTCATATAACTGGAGAAATTGATTTGAAGTCCAAAGAAGACGAGGGAGAGGGAGAAAATAGGTGGTCATGGCAATCAGCGGGGGAGGAAGCAGAAAAGGTGGTCAAACCTTAGTTGCAGGCGGAGTTAGGACAAAGGGGTTCGACATAGCTAAGATGAAGGGTTTCACCTAAATTGAGACGAAGGGTCACGGTTTGGGATCTTTTTGACTTTAACTACAAAAAGGAAGAGTATCAGCAAGGAAAAATCCTTTGTTCATCCATCGCTAAAGGCCTCCTCCGTCTCTGATCCGTCGTTGATCGTCCATCGGTCAAAAGCTCGTAGGTAATACTATCAGCAACGAATCAACAAGAAAAACTTTCAGCGATAGATCAACGAGAGAACTGGTTTTTACGAGGAATTTTTTCCATCGCTAATTCCGTCACTGATACTTTGTTTTTTAGTACTGTTTTTCAGAGTTTATTGTGTATATATATGTATGTATATAGAAATACCTATAACTATAAATGTAAAATATGTAATCAGTGTTATACTATATATTTATTTTATTAAAGAAAAATTAGAGGTAAATGAAGAATAACTAAAATGTCAGTAATTTAACGAGTTCTTTTATAACTATTATTAAAAAAGAGATACCAAATTTAAAAGGTTTTCGCTAACCACGATGGAGAAATCGTAATTTTAAACTGTAAGAACGACAAACGAAGATTTGAAAAAAAAAAACACATGAACCAAAAATACAGTAATTTATACGTTAAAAATTCATAAAAAAATAAAAATAAATTGTATCAAAATAAAACCAAATCCTAACAACACATTGATTTTAGGTAGTACATAAAGGAGGCCCCCCTCATTGGTCCAAAACACCTCATACTTTACTTTGGAAGCTTCTACACCAAAAGTTTGTGGTGTTTAATTAAGTAGCATATATGACGATGGTGGGTTGCCACATAATTAAGCATGTATGTATTGTGTAATGAAAAGGAATCGAGATTTCATCCTTCGTCGTGATATCGAGTCGTGCACTCGTTTTTATTGGCGTTGTTTATATCGAAAATTACACAACGGAATTTAAGATTTGGATTGTGAAGGTATCAACTACAGATTGAACATTCGAGACAAACAAACAAAAGAAATTAAAAAAAATGACGTACATATTTGGTGATGCGAAAAGGTCCGTTGAAGGTAAAAAACCGCAGATGATTAAGTTTAGTCTTCCATTTCGTGATTCTTGAATAAACTGGAAATTCTATAATTATCAATATCACGTATGCTGAATCTTTATGCATGCATATGTTTTGTCAGTGTCATTCATCAGGGCCAGTGATATCACTCCTGACACATACGAGGGACGAATGCTTTTATTCACTCATACTAGCCCTACCCATATGATACTGATACATCATGCACCCGACGTAAGCTCTCTCTCCCAGTTACAGAGTGGTTAAAATCGTGCATCAAATGACACCACTCACACATAATATTCTCCATGATTTAAGTTTAAAAAATGCATGTACAAAGACCAAGTCAGCAACATCCATGACACTAAATTATATATTTCCCATAGCAGATCATATTTTGTACAACAGATCTCTTATTTTTAACACTCCTACGTGGATTATGTATCTCTATACATATTTGCACTGCATTCGCTAATCATTAAGGAGTTGATTACCTAGTTGTGGATAATGCTCATACCCCGCCATTTTCGGGTTGTGCCCAAGCTTTCTCTTAAAACTCTTCCCACTTTCTCATGGTTCTTTAAACAGGAGAAACAACGCTGACGGGCAACAATAATGATGAAAGTTGTCGGCAAAGAAGTGACAATGTGAAACCGTCTTTATTGATTGCTTGTTTGGCTCTATAATGCCTTTCTCCGAAACATCATTGAGTTTTTGGTTCTAGATTTTAGGGTTTGTTGCTTACAAACTTTCCTATATTTTATCACTTGTCTTGCTAGACTTGCAATTGCATCTAGCCATAACTTGAGAACTTGTCTATTCTTACAATTTTAAGTTTGAATTTTTTAAGGTTTGCGATCCTGAAACTGTTATTTTATCCTTTTTTCCTTTGTGTATATGCAACAATATGGGTAAACACGTTTCTTGTTTGTATCAGGTTTAAAACTTCTTGATTTCTTGAACTACAACCTCGATGCGTAAAGAAGCATGAATTATGATTCAGTTATAATTCTGAACACCAACTAATCAATAGAATTTCTCGGTCAATTTCTAGCCAGATAATTATTTTAACATTATACAACCAATATCTAGTATAATAATTTATCAGTATCAACCAAACTACTGGTTAGGTTTAGTAAAGTTTTTGGTGTTTCATCTTTATGGTCATAAATGTTCAAATGCGGTGATTTCGGGCTACCCGTAAAATAGGTGATCGTTCTGAGATTAGTTGGTTTATATAGCAGGTTGGATATCCAGGTTAATAGGAAAAAAGTTTTTGTTGTTTTTGAAAAAAAAGAAAAATTAAAAGAAAAAGGATGTTCATAGGTCACGTGACGGGAATGATTGTTTGACGTGGCGTGGAAACTTTTTATTTTTTGAAAATCCATTTAAGGCGGCAACCACTACTTCTAAATCTATACGCGTGATACGATGTGTTCTCACGTACCAGATTAATTCACCAAACTCCTTTTCACTACTACGAACCATATCTTTCCAAACAGCCCCTCATGTTTTATCAACATGACAAAACACCTCCCTACGTCTTATTACTATTGCTTTTTGGTCCATTACCCTTCCTTTGCTTTTCAATTGGGTTATCCGTTATCACCAAAACTAACAAGAACCAAAACATCAATATAAACCATCTCAATGACATTTATGGGTTGTTTATTTACCTCTTAATAGTTGCATTAAGAGGCAGTATCTAAATCATTAAGAAGTGAATCTTGTTTGATAAAAAAAAACTGTCTCTTAATGATTCTAAAACCTTCTAAATTTTTTTGTATCATGAAGCTCCCTTAACCATTAAGCGCCCTAATTTCATTATGAACATTTACCAAACAATTATATTTCATTTTTCACTATATCATGAAATCGTTAAATTTTGAGATTCGGTTAATATGAATTGAATCAAATGCCCATCTATGGACCAACTGGTTGATGTTTTCACACATCATTATCTGTATTGAAACCTCCATTATTTATTTAATGATTAGATATGTCGGTATTAAATGGTATCCAACCAATTGTATAATACCTCTTGTGAAATAAACATAACATGTGAGTAGACACATAACTACATTTTTATAAAGTTGTACATATGTAAATACACGTGTTAAATATTAATTATTGAACCACAAGGGTGGTGTCTGATTGGTTCGAGCTTGGCTTCAAAGGTCAAAAGTACCAGGATGTCCCAAGTTCAAATCCAAGGAGGATTAAAAATCCCCTTGTGACCACGAAAGTTCAAATGCGATGACTCTGGGCTATCTGCAAAGCAG